GACGACATTTTTGTTGTCGGGATAACAGTTGATTTTTATTAGCTAACTTCGCCCACCTAAAACGATTTCGTCACAACATCGAAATAATGACGTTGGTACTATTTAGTTTCATAGCGTTAACTTTTGTCCAAATATTTTCCGATTGCTAGTTGCGCAGTGTTTTCAATACAGTCACAATAAGTAAAAACCATGTAAAAATAACATTAAAATAGTAATAAACAAATCAATATCCAAAGTTTTCTGAGAGTTTATTGTATCAGAACTGACATTTTATGCTAAATGTGTATTAGATTTATAGAAAAACAAGCATATGGATCATAGCTCAGCCAGCAAGTCATATTGGGGCCCAAGTGGGCAACTTTATGGGGCCCTAATGGGTTGCCTACATCCTGCCCAAAGAAAATTGTCGCTGGGCGTGAATTTGGCTCAAATGGGCAGCCAATGTGGGTCCTACTTTTTTATTTATTTAAGTTTTTATAATATTTTAAATAATTATTTATTTAATTTTGTATTATGTATATATATATATATATATATATATATATATATATATATATATATATATATTTAATATAATAATTTATTTATCCTTTGATAAGAGATGATGAACATCGAGCTCCGTCTTGAAGTCTGGATCGATATACTCGGCCACCGTTGGAAACTGATCAATCATCAGACCTGAAAAGACCGAGCCACAGCTATTTCCAGCAAATTTAAAGTTCTGTTTCTCCAAGCCTTGTATACATTTGTATTTTGATAAAGAGTTAATATTAAAAATGAATTTGAATACCTTTAGAGTCTAGATGAGTTCCATAATGATCATGAGGTAAGGTAATCAATCCCGCCAACTCTTTACTCAGTGGAGCCATCCTTCTTTCGACTCGATTGAAAGCACTCCGTCCTGGCGCACTCGTCATGATGAATAAGGCATCCAAATCATTTGTAAGGTAATGATGTATCGATGTAAACAAAATAAATATTTAAGTTAGAAGAAACATATTATTGATAAATCGCAATAAAAAACTTGAAAAACAAGGATATACCAATTTCGATGACTTTAGCGTATCGTGGATTTTCATCTGTTCCACCATCAACACTAAAGACAACTACTGGCTTGACCAACTTGGTCAAAGGATCATTTGTAATAGAATCAAACTTTGGCAGAGTAAAAAGTCGTTCAAAGTCCAATCAGTGAGCATACGCTGTCGATGATGAATGCTTTCCGGAACGAATAGCAACATAAGTGGAACCGGAATAGGAAACTGCGTCAGATTTTCCAAGCCCATCTGGTTTGATTGCGATACCTGCGTATACGGACGGGATGAGTTTGCTTTGCAGCGATAACCCAATCATGATCAGGATGAGAAACTCGATATTCCATATGCATCAATATAGGAGCTTGTTTGTTGGCCGCAAAGATTCCTATAGGGATCCGAGCTTTATCGTCTTGACTTAAAAAGCACACTTCCTTTGGGCCCAATAAAGAGCAAACTTCTTCCACATTTTTGGAGATTTCTAGCATTTAAACAGTTTAAGAGTAAGTAACATTTTTTTTTATTTTTAATGAAATCATTTATTAAATGAATTTCTAAATATTGCTATTAAAATATTTATTCTTTTATTTTAGAATTAAAAGTGAAATTAAATATGAAAAATGAAATTAAATGAAAATGAAATGAAAAAATGAAATTAAATATGAAAAAAACTTATATGAACAAAACACTAAAAATGAACCAAATTAAGTTCCTTCATACTCCAAATGCAAGTGAATATTCAATGCAAATCAATCTGCGTGATTTTAGATGTTATTTTAAAAGATTTTTGTCATTTTTTTAAGCATAATTTTTGCCGCAAGTTTAGCACCATATGGGACCTATCTTTTACCGAGTTCAAATCCCAGCCATACTTTTTTCACATTGAAATTTTGTTATGTTTAAAATCTCAAATAATATATTTTATAATTAAAACAGCAATTTATTTTCTTGTCAAAGTATTGGGGAATGAAGTCAACGCCTTTGTATAAACCTTCGTTAAAACTAAAGTATGCATATATATATAAAATAAACTAAAGTATGCATATAAGTTATGCAATTCCAAAGCATTGTTGAATTCAGGAGAGCTGATATTTTAATCAGCTCATTAATCATTAATCAGCAGTATAATGAGAAATTAAAAATCATTAATTTATTAGCTTCAATCAATAAGATATGATCTTAAACTATTACCTATAACATACAACAATATTTTTACTGAAAAACGATTAAAATAAAAACTTAATTAATCTGTTATTAAATATATTTATTACAATTAAATTGGTTGGATCTTCCATTGATTTAGTTTCCCTCTAAAAATGCTCGTTTTTGCTAAAAAATCCAGGAAAATTCCAGTAAAAAGTTATTGGCTCACGAAGTCTTTAGACCAAAATGAGTTTGACGCCACGTCTGAAACTTATTCCAGAATCATTGCAGTGTAAACAAAATAAATATGCTATCACTAGGGGTATGACTAAAAAATATACTTAATTTTTTCGGAAATGGCATAGCGGCAAAAGATGAACTTTTACTTGTATTTACTTAAAATAATACTTTTTACCAAATTGAAAAAAAACTTCGTCACCGATGCAGATGAAAATTTGATCAAAGCTGTCTAAAAATAGTGTTAATACAATTTTTATTTGAAATAACTCTTTTTAGTTAATAAATTGAATATATATTTGGTAATTATAAGAATACTTCCACTTAACTCAAGATAACTTAATAAATAGTCAACACTAAAACTGTAAGAAAACAAAATAAAAACTCAATATTAACATAACTCATAACTCAAGGTAACAATACTGCAAAAACAAATAAAAGTGCAGATGACTATTCTCCTAAATTAAATTTGTCTGAATAGATTTATGAAATTATCAAGAAAGACTTACAAGAGTAACGACGATTTATTTAAAAAATGTCTTTATGGGCAAACTTAAAATTGTAATGAGGGACTAAATAAAATCATCTTGTTCCAAAATCCTTAAAATGATTATGTAAAGACAGATGTTCATAAAATGAAAGTAAACTCAGTTGTTCTTTTTTTAATAAAGTTTCATCTGGTATTTATTGTGTATTTTAACATTTAAATCTAGACTTTGGAAAAAATACAACAGCCAGTTCAGTAAAAAAAGACCAAAAGCGGTTACTGAATATGGTTAAAAAAAGACAACCACAAAAAAAAAAAAAAAATCTTAGATAAAATAAGAAAGGTTGGATTGATAACAATTATCCAAAAACATCTACAAAGGATATTTTTAAAACCTCTTTTTACTTATTTGTCTACCCCCAAGGAATTAGTCAATTTTTAGTTTTTTGAGACTTAAAAGAAATATTTTTGTTGTTATATAACGCTCTTAGTTCATTCTCTATCTCGTATATCAGAAAATGATTTAGCAAAGTACCGAGTATTTTTAGTTAGTCGTTCTGGAATAATCGCGTTTTGAAAAATAATAAAAATATGCTTTTTTGTGCGTTTTTGAATCAATAAAGTCCTCCTTTTTTTTTCAATAAACCTTCATGTTTTATTATTATTTTCATTAAAATTGATTCATAAAACTGATTTTAGAATTGATTTAAGTTATTTTACTAAAAAACAAACAAATTCTGTTAAGTCACCTTGAGTTAAGGTGGTTCATACCCTTAGTTTTTAGTCTAAAATCCAATTTTTTTTTTTTGGCTTTGTGTTATGCAAAATTTTAAATTAAATTTAAATATATAATTGGAATTTATAAAAATAATGAATATGTTGACTAAAATTCATTTTTATGCAACCCTATAAAAATTGCGCCCTAAGCAACTATGGTGATGCTAAGGGCGTAATTTTTATAGGGTTGCAACAACTCTTTCTTATTGAAGCTGAAAAAGCAAAGCAATATTTATTTAAAATCCATACTTTAAATAACATTTTTTTAACACATGAAATTAGATAATTGTAACACATAAATTATTTAATTTACTATCTTTACATTTACCAAGTGACTCTCATTTGTTTACTGCTATTGTTGTTATATATTCCAAATAAGAATAAATTAAGGGTCTTCAATTTTATAGGAAATTAATTAAAGTATGCCTTGATCAACTCTTTCAAAACATTAAAGAAAGTTCTGTGGTAACTGTGATAATGAAAAGCCAAGTGAAACTATACCAGCTGGATCTTTTTAATTGTTTTATTGCACTTTTTCCTTTTTTTAGTTTTAATTTTTCTTTTTTAAGTTATTTTGTTTTATATTTTCAATATTATTTGGTCTGATAATCAAAATGGTTTGAAATCTTCACGGTATAGTTTTAGCGATATTTTGAAGGAGTTAATGCAGAACCAATGGATAATTTTCAAAAATGTAGATTTAATAGCTTTTCTTGTATACACTATTGAATTTTTGTCTTTGTTTTACAATTTTTGTAAATCAAGAAATTTCTGAATCTGCTTTTAACTATTGTGTAACTACCTAATATTTGAAAATTATGTCTGAAAACTTTAGGTTCAAAAAGTAAGTATTTCTTGTTTAATCGCAGATTTAAGTATCGTCTTTTTAACTATAAATGAATGAATCAAAAATATAAGCATTTTTATTTTAATGGAAATTGTTCACTGACTTAAATAGGTTGAACTTAAAAAAAGCACTTAAATAACTAGTTTTCTTTGAACTTTTAAGGGTATGAATCACGTTAAATAAAATATCAAAACAGCGCATCAAGTTTAATGAATATCTTTGCTTAGAGATTATAATTCAGTTTTTTAAATAATGGAGCAGTAATTCAAATTATATGGAGCTGGCTTTAACAAGCTCTTCTGTGCTACATCTTTTATAATGAGTTGTTGGCCTTTTCATGTTAAAAAAAAACAAAAAAAAAACAACGAGTTTATTGTGTATAGTTATTAATAATAATGCCGGTGGACTTGCCACCAACATGATTTTTCTTTGGGTATTTACTTCTTAACTTTACCTAATAATACAATATTGAAATTCATGAATCATGGACTTCTTTATTGTTAAAGGTTACATGATCATAACAGTTACAAGTTATAAAGTTAACCAAAAGAGTAATATATTTACTATTTGAGTCTTCACAAGTACTGGCACCTTCTGTTCTTTCACTTTGCTTTACTACAATTACTAAAATTTAGTCATTATAAGTTATCATAAATATAGATTAAAATAGTACCTATTAAAAATCGTATTGTAACAATTTTCTCAAATAAAAGTAGCTATTTTTGCAATTACAAAAAACTTTAAAGCGCTAAGATATAAATAAACCTCGATGTAAAATAATACCTAATTGCAAACTTTGTTTTTCTAAACATAATATTTAACTTAATTATGAAATCAAAAAGTGAAACAAGTTTATAATAATGTATAAATACAACGTAAAAAATATTACCTAATTCCAAGATCTTTTCGTCTAAAAATATTTTTTGATAAATTAATCTTTATTGAAAATATTTTATATTTAGTTATTATAATTTATTTATAATTAAAATTCATCAAATAAACGTTTACAGATATAAAAATATTTTGGCTACTTAAAATAATGAATACCCAAGTCTTTTCTAGCTTTCACTAAAATAAAAAAAGAAATATATAAATTTTAGAAAATCCAATTATACCTTCATTAATTACTGTTGTGTTATTATTATTATACGTTTTTTATTATAAATTATATTGTATTACCTTACATGAAAAAAAAAAAAGTTTCATATATTTTATAACATGCATAGAACAAGTATTTGGCAAGAAATTTTATAAAACATAACATTACATAATTTCTTTCTTTCTTCTAGTTGAGCTAAAAGAAACAGATGAAATTGCTAAGAAACATTCAGAAATAGAAGTAATTTAATTAATATCAAAAATATGTTTTCATACCCAATTTCAATTCTTTGCTTTCTAAAAATAAGTAGGGATATTAAGAAAAAAGTAATGCAAATTAGCAAAGAATTAGTAATGTAATACAAGTAAAAATTTATTTGACTAACCTACTTTTTTTCTTATTCAATCCAAGTCTAAGAAAAATAATAAAATGAACAATTTGATAAATATATTTAAAAAATTCTTTAAGTTAATAAATTCCATAGATGAGTAATTAAATATTAATTCAACTATTTGAATTAATTGCAAATATTTGCAACCACATTCCTTAATGTTAAACTAGTGATATTTTTTGAAATAAACATTTTTAACTATGTAACTGTGTTGTTGATAATAAAAACATACTCGATGACTATACCAATAAACTTGGCCTAAAAAATTTATTGTTTAAACTTTTATAATTTTTACTAACACTCACAATATTTAAAAAACTAACATATAGTTTTTCTTTTTTATTTCTATTATCAATTAATTTCTAATTTAATGAACTACTTAGATAAGCCTCGGGTAAAATTTACCTAGGATTTCCCTATGTGTATTTTAATAGTATAATGCCAATGTATATGCTAATATCTAAAAGGTATGAACATTCATGCCAGTATCAATATCATGGCATAAACTAAAAACGAAATATAACTTTGAACAATTGCAAATAAGTAAAACTAAAAAGCTAAATAAGGTACAACAATAGCAATCAATGATTAACACAATTGGTTTCAGAAAATAAATGAAATAGAAACTGGGTTTGCATTAAGTACAGAAACATATAGTTGTCAATAAAAATGTAGTTTAATGAGAAAATTAACTCATAAATCTAGAAGAGGTAAAATAAAATCTGTTGCAGATCATTAAAAAGCTTACAAGCATACATTTAACCATTCAATTAACCATTAAATTGTTGGTTTATTGCATTTTGAAAACTTTTTTTTCATCACATTTACAGCATACCCAACTCCCGTCAGCTATTATTTCAGATAACGAAACACAAATCTTTAAAAAAAAAGAAAACAGCTTTAGTAAAAAGTAAAAGCAAGTAAATTTTTTGCAACTATTTGCTCAAATAACAAAAAATTTAATTTCAGAAACTAAATTGCCTTACTTACCAATGATACCATGTCGCACAAATTTCACACTCAATCATATCTTTATACTGAGGTATTTCGCAAATAGAACAAGTCCAACTCTGCTTAATTAAGAACACTATAAAATAATGTTAACACTACAACTTCATAAATAAGGCATACCAATTGCTAATTAAGATTTTAATTTAAACGTAACATTTGTACATTTTAAATAAACTTATAACAATCAATTTATGTTAAACAATAAAAAAAATTTTATAAAATTGTTTAAATTAATAAAAGTAAATTTATTCAAGTAATTATAGTACTTTGATCTTCTAACAAGTTGGATTAATTTGAAAGTGAAGTGTAAACAACTTTAATAGTAATTATTGATTTTATTAAGTGTAATAACAAAAAAAGAAATAACTTTAATGCAACACTCACCCTTTTTTATAATTTTTTTTAATACATCTGGATGAATTAGATTTTGAACAATTGCAATATTATGGTTAACTAATTCTGGACATGGATAATTATCTTCTAAGTGCAGATCTTTTTCAGTCAACAAATGACATGTCTGGGATTTTCTGTACCCAAAGTAATTTAAAACTGTTCTTTGGTCTAAAGGTGGTTATGAATTAAGTGAGTTAAAGGTAAGAAAAACCTTAGAAATAGGCAAAAAAGGATATATACATGCAGTTGAATCAAAGGGAATACTATATTGTAAATAAGTTGTTAAGCAATTTCAAAAACAAACAAAAAACAAACAATTTAATTGACAACTAAACATAAGACATGTACCAAACCCTTTTCTCCTTCAACAGTGAAAAAAAAAAATAATTATAATAATAATAGGTGACAAAAAAAATTGTTTTAAATAGTATTTATAAACCTAAGTTTCTTATATATCAACACTTAGTTTTGGGTTCAAACTTATAAATGTAACAAGTACTGAACTTAACAACAAGTGTTAACTGAAAGTTATATAATTTAAAAAATTAACCTGATGATAAAATTTTTGTTTCTTTAACACTATCTGATGTTTTGCCATGTTTTACTTTGTTCAACTTACTTTTTGAATTAATTTGAGATTCTAAAAAAAAAATTAAATATAAATAATTAACATATTGATATTGGAAACAAGAAAGTGTATAAAGTACCTTTAATTTTCATAGTCCAATTAGAGAAATCTGATAAGCTATTTATTTCATCAGAGGAGGGTTTTGCAAGTCTAATCTGTGAAACTTTCCTCTTTTTTTTGGTTAAATAAAATGGTGAATGCTTAGCAATTAATTTGTTTGAAGGAAAATTATTTTTTAAATGTAAATCATTTTGCTTTTTAGTTGCCAGACTTAAAAAAGTATTTTTAGCTTAAGATATATTTTTTTGTAAGGTCTGCAAACCATCCTCATCGGTTATTGTACTAACGGATACCAAACTAACTAGGTCTTTTAGATTTTTAATAATGTTATTTTTTAAAGTATTGATATCTGCAGGTTCATAGCCTTTTATAGTTTTGAAGTCTAATTCCATTGAATTTGTTAGCAAATAAAGAGGTTCAGTTTTTGTAGATACACCAATAATGCTAAGGCGATGCACCAAGTGAGTATGTTTATATTTTTAGTCAAAAAATCCATACAATCGCAGCAATATAAATAATTACATACTTTACATTCTGGACATTTTGTGAGGCATTGACTTTCTTCACACGAATCTTGGTGTTTTCAAACTCTGTATTGGTAAGCACTTGTTTCTGACTGTACTAACCTTTATCATCACAGGTAAAACTTTCACTCAGTTGATAACTTGCAAGGTGCCTAGAATTTACCATTTTTAACTTGTAGCTTTAACTTTTCCTTTTGTTAATTTTATTATTCTTTCATATACTTTGTCTCTTGTTAAACTTAAATAAAGCAAATAAGCAGTTATCAATTCTTTTGTTATGCTTACCATGTCGGTAACTATACTTAAAGAGTTTGTGAAAAGATTCAATATACATATTTGTATTTATAACATGACCCATACGATAACAGAATGCCCAAATTTGTTTATTACTTATCCAAAAATTTTTAAAATATTCACCAAACTGTGTTAATACTGATGATTGCAAGTAATTCATCAGTAATTGTAAATAATCCTCAAACAGGTTTCTGTCACTTAGCTGTAAAAGAAATCGAATACGTTTATATATGTCTGCTTCCATTTCCAGATTTTGAACTTTTTTATGTAATTCTTCTCTCCACGCTCTATTAACATGCTAGGTACACCAGAATTTTAGAGGTGCGCACAAATAAACATTACAAAATGCTTCATAGACTGGGAAGCCATATCACTCATAAACCAAATTGGAGAAAAATGTCCTGAATTTTCTTTTAATTTTATAAAAAATATTTTCAAAAATCTGAACAAATCACTATTTGATATGCACCATCCAACAGTTTGCCCCTCACCTAGTTCATCAATAACTAATATTGTTGTCAGAAGAAATTCATAGGCATTTGTACCATGTGTGGAATTAATACAAACTCCATTTTTTCCAAACTGTTGCAGCATTTTTTTTTTGATGTTCTGTTTGCATAATAATTATAAAGTCAGCATCTTTAAATGCACTAGATGAATCAGACTCTCCTTGTACTTTATAATACAAAATATGATTATTTACCTTCGTTTGCCATTCTTTTAGCCAAATTGCAACACAGTCTTGATCATTAGCATGAAGTTGTATAGAGTTTATGTTGAATGTTTTTTCTAAGTTGTTAATATCATTACGCTGAGTTAAATGTAATCTAGATTGAACATAACCCATTTCATCTCTAATATCATCTAGGATTATATCTTTGGTTACATCCATTTTTAATTTGTTAGCAATTTCTTGTCTTTGAACATTAGATAAAAAAATATGTTGAATTTCGTTTTTATGTCCATAGTGTGAATAACAAACGTGAACCATAACTTGACCATCTAGGTTTTGGGTAACTTTTAGAGTTGATGTGCAATTTTTTGCAATTTTTCGAGTGCCTATAATATTAAATAAATATTTTAAAAAATTAAAATTACATAATTGAATAATTTAAATTTACATAACTATCTTTGCAAACAAACTAGGTAACCCAATCGAAACACAAACTTTAAAATGCTTTAGTCAGCATTGTGTTTTCTTATAGTATTGTAAACTAAGTAACGTGCACACTAAAAAGTTATCATAAATAACAGGAATAAAATAATAAATGGATAGTAACAAAATGAGATAAACAAAGAGAGTACTGAAGTTACAAATGTTACTAATTTTTCTGAATAATTACCTGACACATACCACTACTTTTAACTATTCTTTTCTTTGCCATGCATTTATATAATCAACTTCTATTGCATTGATAGTATGATACTTTCCTACCATCTTTATCAACCTTTTCACCAGAAGGTAAGACATATTGTGTTGAATTATTACTTTCAATATCTGATTTCCACATATCAAACTCTAAAAACAGAAAATAACACACACACACACACACAAAACAACTCCTTAAAATTAACTTGAAACATAAGTTTAATTCATAATATCAACAGCAACTAGTCTGAAACATGTACTAAATTGAGTGCATGAAACGTTAATGTACAATAAATGTTAATAATAGTACTTTAAAAGTGAGTTTGTGATAAAAGCAAAATACATTTTTCAATGTCTCTGACAAAATTATAATTAAATTAACAAACTGGAATAATAAGTAAACAAAAATTTAAAGACCAAATAAGTTTGTGTGCATGTTATAAATATAAAACTAACAACTTGCATTTTAAACATAAAACTTCCTTTAAAATAAGAAAATGATATGCTTTATTTCTGAAAAGTATGAAAATGAACAGCAGATAAATGTTTTCTTAAGTCATTAATTCGTCTGCAGTGAAATCCACATTGAAGACAAAAAGAATTTCCTTATTGAATATGTAACTGAGCTTCTTTAACTGAATTGTGTTTATTTTTTATATGTCGCTGCATGTTATTTTTTTTTGGTAAAGGAAACGTTGCAAAATACACATTTTAAAGAGACAAAATTGTCTTTTTTAATATTAACAGTATTTTTTTTACCTAATTTTGATTCTGAAACATTTGTGCATGTAACATCTTCATCAGAATCATGTACTTCAAAATTGCTAAATACTTCATTTTTTTGAACTCGGATTGAAGTAGGAAGAACAATATCCAGATTTATTTCTTTACTAATGAACCATGTCATCAAAACTAACCTTAAATATTTAGAAGATTTTGTAGGCTCTTGTAGAAAAATGTAATTACTGCTTTCTATTATATCTTTACTTATTATATAAATAAAGTAATCATATTGTAAACAAGAGATTGCACATATTATTATGGTGATAACACCACAGATATTACCGCATGTTTGCATAGGGTACCTTTCTCTGCATAAAGTACTGCATTTTTTAATACCATACATATGTGTCTTAGGATCGTGACAGTAGATGAGGTCAAAGCTTTTGTTCATGTGATACAACTTTCTGATCAATAATTAAACTTTACTTAAAAAGTCATCTGGAACTGACCAACCAAAAGAATCTCCATTGTAAAAATTACACTCAATATTATCATAAAATGCTAATGTCCAGTGGGAAACTGAATTTAAATCAGTGCCAGTGAAGGTTTTTTCATTGTTTCCTTCAACATTTATAATAAGGATCAACTTAGAAGGCACAGAAGTTATCCTAGATACATAATGCTCAATATTTTCTATAAAGTTAAGGTAAATTACCTTTGAATGGGTTTGAGTAGAGTTCAAGTTATTGGAAATTTGGAGCATATGATCTGATGAAAGCCATCTAGTACAACATAACTCAGCTAAAGTATTAGGGTTCATTCCATATTCTGAAATTTCTCAACTAGCTGGCATTCTAAAAAGCACGTCTTTAAATTTTTCTATTGAATTTTGAGGAGGAAGTACACTAATTGATTTTGGTATCATCTTTGTAGAATTAGACCATGTTAGTTCTTGATCAACTGATAATTTGATCTCTTGAACCCTATGAAGTGCTATTAAATGCTGAACACTTTCATAGATTAACTTTCCTAAATTACATTCTATATAATGGATTCCACTTGCAATATTATTGCGGTGAGATAATTCTGTTGACCATTTTATTAACTGATGTTTAGGTGGCAAACTTATTAGAGAAATTATATCAGTTGTATATATTGTATAAATTATATCAGAGAAATTATATCAGTATCAACAGAAAACTGACTCGTTTTGATAGAATAATCTTGAACTGTTTTTTTATAAACTGTTTATGTGACTTGTATGCGTTTTGTCGATTATAGTTGTTAATCGTAAGCTGATTAAGCTTCATTTTGTTTAGAAATAAGCTACCAGATGCCTTAAACATAAATTTTAAATGTTTTATCATATAGAAACATTTGAAAAAAACGAAACTAATTAAAACATGTTAAACTTACCATCGTTATTGCACATTAGAGACTAGGAACTACAAGCGTGCTTATTTTTATATATGTTATGTATATAAATTTATATATATATATATACATATATATATATATATATATGTATATCCATACATGGGCATACATATAGTAACACTTTTTCAAATCCGGCAAACGAGAATATTGTATTTCGGACTAAATGAAACTTGACTTTTTCATCCAATCAAAATAGGGAACCATTCCTGTATTTAGCTGCTTCTAAAAATAGTTTAAGTAGGCATCTTTCGAAATCTTTAATGTCATTAAAGATTTATTACAAGTTTTTAACTTTTTTATTTAGTGATATCTCAATATATATAGTATTGTTATTATATATAAATTCACAAGTATAATTCATTCTTTTTATGAAAAATAAGTTAATACTAATATTTTACTTTTTATTTCCTCTGAAACAGAAAACCTTTTAATTAAATCTATAAAATTTATACATGATATCATATATTTGAAAAGCAAATATTAAACATAACTTACATATTATATATTTAAATATACTATTTTTGTAAGCTTTTTTTATGCAAGATTTTTTTTGCAGGATTTTTATGTTGTAGTAATTTATCTCCAGAATGTTTTATGTTGTAGTAATTTATCTCAAAAAAATGTGTTTTTCACGTTTTTAAAAAGATCATTGAATGTGCAACCTTAAGGATTAAAAAGATGAAAGAGACATTCTGTAATATTTAACTATTATGCTTTCAATAAGTTTTGATCTATTCCACGCCAATCATTTCTTCACTTGAAAAACTTTAACATACGCACTTTTTCCGCTTACGTATTTAGCTTATTAAACTCTGTTTATTTATTTATATATTTTTAAATTCTGAACTAAACTATTTCCTACTTTTAGACCAGCCATGGACCATGGTTTATGGTCGCGTCCTAGCTATTTTCAATAGTTACTATTTACTATATTTATTAATATTATATGCTTAATTTTGAATAATAACGGTCTTTTATAGTTACCTTTGTATTAGACGGAAACGGTAATGCAATTCCTTAAAACGTTAGTCGCTTAAAGCGTCAAAAGTCATGCAAAAAAATAAACTATAAATTTTGTAATGAACTTTCAGACAAAAGCTC